TGCAACAAGAGACTCTCGTCGGCTTGTCACAGTGTTCGAGCACCGTTGCGAACAGTCTCTCGCTTGCAACTTGGGTTGCGGGAATCGCCAGGTATTGTTGCGCCACACATGCAAGGGACTTATACTTTTTTTTTCCTACAGCCTTCCACCAGCGGAATGGGCAGTAAATACGTGGCAAAACTGGAGAGTGAAGGTAGTCGTAGACCTCTTGTATTAGACAACTTGGAGCAACAATCTTCTTCGGCAATGCCAAGCTGTTCAATATCTTCCACACTGAAGGCTGCTCACTGGTTTAAGATTGCTGTTCGGTGAAACTTTCTTTGGACGCGAGCTGTGTTGAGTATATGGTACATTCTGAAGCATTGTACTTAGAAGGAACTTTACATTCTATTTTTCTTCCTCGTTGTAGCAGATGTATTTAAATGGAGGATCAAGGAACGTGGCAAGGTTTACGTTTAGGAACCTTATTTTCACCGATCTCAGAAGATTCTGGGAAAATGCCTTGCCTTGAGTTCCACTTGCGTCCTCAGAAAGCAACATCTTCACACAGTGAACAAGTGGAACAACCATGGAAAGCGTTGGGAAAGACTCTGCACAAGCAGCTGTTGCGGTATCTTCAATTGGTTTCAGCACCGACACCAAGGCCGTACAAGACGCCATTCGTCCGTGGTCAAGTTCTCAACGGTATCGGTTTCTGCAGGCTAAGCGCAACAGCGGCCTAGAGCTTCAACAGGCGTGCCAGCATGGCGTACTTACTATTCCATCTTGTGGATACATCTTGCAGCAGCTCAAGAGGAACTTCTATGCCCATCCTCTTTTATTTATCTTGCAGTCTTGCCCTTGCACTGCTGCTCCGTTTGTAGTGCCCCACATATGGCTCGCACTTTGGTGCACACAATTGCGAATCCCTTGGTTGCTTTGTTGGCATCTTGAACGTAAAGCTGCAAGGTATGTGCAGAACAAGCAGTCTGCACCCACGGCATTCCGGCAATCGCAGAAACGAAGTTCCGGGAGTTTCACTAACCATAAAGCAAGAAAGCGTCAGAGGTATGCCCCACTCCTCAAAGATGTCCTCGATCAGAGAACGCACATTCTCCGCAGTGTGGCGTTCACACATGCAGCGGTACCCAAGCACAATACTGTAAGGCACGAAGTTCTCACTCATCACATGGCACGTCAGCCATCACATAACTGTCGCCAGGTCGTGACGTCCAGCCGTCAGTGGTGATGGCGATACACCCCACGTCCTGCCTTAGGACGCTGTGCAGCAAAGTGTGAAAAGCATACCTGGCAGCATCGTACATTTCCGGTACGTCCTCGAGAACGTCGTTCGTTCGAGAAGGAACGTTGTATTGAGGCACTGCACATTTATTCAGCTTCAGAAAGGCTGGTTCCTCTACGAGTGTGTATACGGTGCAAGCCAGTTGCGATAACGCAACCAATTTTGTTTGTTACTGCCCTGGCGCGAACGCTCTGATTACTCAGGCGGGGCTTGAAAGCCAGCATCATACTTGCTTCCCTGGCCAGGCCAGTCTGTCGCAGCCAGAAGGCGGCGAGAGAGAGAGAGAGAGAGAGAGATCGCGTTATGTTGGAAGAGAATAAAAGTGGGGGGAGGAGAGGGCTAATTGTGGATGTGCACCGGGCGCTTTTGTCACTTGCTCTGAGAAGGCGGCGAAGAAACGCGGAGGCGGAACTAGCTTGCCCTCCACCATAGCCTCCTCTAGGAGGCTATGCCTCCACCGATTGGCCGGGACACAGGAGCGCCCTCCTACGTCACCGCGCGTTTTTGTGCGCGTTGAGAAAGAAGTTGAAATTATCCAACTTTTTTGTGCGCGCCCGGAAGGAGCGAAGAAGTGGCGCGACGTCACGAAAATACGTCACATCCGCAGCCGTACGACCTACAGGCACAAAAAGAAGCGTTGGTTTGGATCGCGCTTTAAGCGCGAAACACATGTACGACGAAACCGTCCGATCCGACGTCCGACCGCGCAATATGACGGTCGGAGGCGAGGGTTTTCAACGCTCTCCGATGCTACGAAAACCCTCGCCTCCGACCGTCGTATTGCGCGGTCGGACGTCGGATCGGACGGTTTCGTCGTACATGTGTTTCGCGCTTTACGTTGCCCTGCCGTAGCAGCTGCGCTTTCATACTCCTTGCGGGACCCGGATGACGGGTCCCGCAAGGAGTATGGCGTCGTCGTGTTTGTTGGCGTTTTCAGAATAGCGCCACACACAAGAAACTTTAACTAAGCAGCGCAGGAGCGATCTAAGAACTTTCACACTCCGCTGCGCTCTCTCTTGGAAGAACTTCCCGCTTCAACAACTTCTACTTCGCTCATAGGCGGCACCGTCGCAACCAGTTTTGAAACGTCTCCACGCCACGCTTTCCGAAAGCGTGCACGATCAGCCTCGTGCGAAAGTGGAGGCAACAGCAACGTACAAATTGAGAGAACCTGATGATGCCAATAATGATGATCATTGCCGAAAAGAGCGTACGCATTGCCACTTTGTGGCACGTAAGGCAGGCGCGCCGGCGCGTTATGGGACGCCTGAAATGGAATCTTGCTGCGCGACACCATAAGGACTATTCGGAAATTATACGAGAAATATTTGAAACTTTTGAAAATTATTATTCGATTCGAGTAACGAATCAAATGGGGTAATATTCGATTCGTTATTCGAAAATCACGAATATTCGCACACCCCTACTGTTGCGCAGGCTGCCGCCGCGACGACAGCTTGAGACATGGGAAGTGACGTGACTAGCCTTTTTCACATATAAAAGAAGAACCTATCTAGCAACTGATTTAATTGTTGTTGCATCACCGCTATGGGTTCATAGCGGTACTATGAATATGCCATATCAATAACCTCATCAAATAAAAAAAAAACGAGTTATACATCATCTCTGTTTTTAGCCGATATTTTTCATGGATTCGTGTCATCCCCATACATAAGTACGAAAACCGAAATTCCCCTTTAAATTACCGTCCTATGTCACTGACCACCACTCCTTCAAAGATCTTGGAACATATCATATGCTCTAATTTTATATATATATATATATATATATAGAATCTAATAACTTTCTAACCCTAAGCAAACAGGAATAGTTTTAACTCCCGGGGAGCCGCGTGATTACGAGGAGCGGCAAAGGGAAACGAAACGGCAATACGACCGGCGGTGGCCTGCTGCGACCAGCGGCGGCATTCGGTATAGTGCAGCGGGCAATCGCTGCAGGTGACAGCACCACTTCGCTGGCTAAGCAAAGCAAAAGAGCGCGTCGACGTTTGTTTACGAAGCGATACCAGGTTGATCTTTTCACGCTGCAGACAACGACAGGTCTTGTCGAAAGCGAGAGCGACGTAACCATACTCCGTTTCAAAGTAGAGAAGTTTAGGGAACCGTTTTTGCACATCCTATAGGCTATATGGTATACGATGGGCCCTCCGGTACGAACTGCGCATGCGCTACCGCAGAAGGCTCGCACATGCGCAGTTCGTTCCTGATGGCCCATCGTACCACATCGGACGGTACAAAAACGGTTCCCTGAAACTCGCGATTAAGTCCGACCGCGGTTGACATCACGATCCGACGGAGCCTGTCAGGCAGTGTGAAAAGCGCATCGTCATGGTTTCCTCTGTGCGTTTGCCATCATCGATTACCCCAATCACGCACGAAAAAGGAAGAAAACGCGGGATCGCGGGACATTCTCTGAGCGTCAATTCACTGACGCCACGCCACTTCGGTGGCGCTGCTGTCGGTACTGCGCATGCGCGGACGCTTCACTCCTACCGAATTCGGTTTCTGCGCACGCGCAGTGCCCACACACGGTGTGGGTCAGAGCGGGCTCCTTTGGAAACACTGGGTCGGTGTATAGAATGGTGGAAGCCTCCGATCGCCCCACTCTCACTCCACGGAAGGTTGTCCCAGTTCGGATGAAGCCAGCTCTGCAATTGGACCCGATGCCGGGGACGCACGAAGACGACAAACGCCGTAACGATGCTTTTTTTTTATATAGCAAAGCTGTATATGGCCACATGGTTCCATGCATTTTTGGCATCCGTGTGCAGAAACTAAATTGCACTTAAAAGCGCTCCATAGTATGGAAATTCAAATACGCCCCGTGACCTAGATATGCATTTTGATAAGGAAAAACGTCAAAACGCGTGATAATGGAGATAGATCCGAGAACAAGGGGACTTCTCCTGCTCGAGTCGGGTGACGTCACTGCTTTAGCTTTTATATATGTAAGGCGTTATATAGACTTAAATTTACCAAGGTATCTCACCGAAGTTGTAATGGAACCCATTAGTGTATATCATAGTGATCCCAAAAGAATCATCACTACCGTTTCAAAATAATGTATATATAATGTAATAATGTTTGGTGAAGTGCTCTTGTGTAGGTCTCTCGGCGTATCATGTGTGATGGTGCCCTACAGCTTCGCTGACCAACCGTGTTCACAGGGTGAAATGAATCACAATTTTTTTTGTGCTGTTTCATTGGTTTTACTGTATTACAGCGTCGGCCCCGGTCGCATTTAGATTGAAACCAGGGTGTAAGATAGACAGGTCGGGAAACGAGAGCCAAATGAGCGACCGGATTGTGTCCCCCTCGGTTTTCTCTTTTTCTGTGGCGCCATCTATGTGGAGCACTGCGAACTTTCACTCCAGGTGGGCGACTGGTGCCGACCGGCTAAACTGGCGGAGACGGTTTCTCGTGGATTTTCAATTGAGGACTGTCGTACTCTCGGTTTATTTTGCGCACTCTCCCATAGAGTTCCATGCAAATCCGATTCTGATTTTTTTCCTCTCGCCGTAGCGCCATCTGTCGCAAATCGGCGGTACCCGCAAGCAGACGAGTACACAATCCGGTCACGGCGCTGCGGTAGGCTTCTATGGGCCGTTTCTCCACCTGTCTATCTTCCACCCTGATTGAAACGGACTATCAACAACCTTTAGAGCTCGTTTAAAGGCGACCATGACTGAACTGTGCAGCGTCCCCGAGGAACAGATGGTGACCGGATGTCCCGCACGGTTTCCCCTGGCCCCAGAACGAGTGTCGGACGACTTCTTCCAGAGGCACCCGAACGCCACCATCGGCGATTTTAACCACTTCATTAACAACTACAGGTGATTCTTTTGCTCCGTGAGAAAGTTTTGGGCTGAGTGGCTTTGCACAGCGTTACAAAAGTATAGAGTAACGAACGTGAGGGAGAAAGAATTGAGAAAATGACTTATTGATCATGTTTTTAAGCCCCGATCCATTATACACTTGGCAGACCAACGGAACTGGTTTTGATGCATCCATGCGCGTAAACCAATTATCGCTTCAACATTAGTCGTGCCGTAAAGTACGTACGGCCGAGTTTAAGAACTTCGTCATAAATACAAGCCACTCCGCGTAACTTTGTTATTGGAACAAATGTAGTGGTTTCTACATTTAACTTATTGAAGAAAACTAACTGCCCTAATACGCGAAACGAAGCATATGAGGGACTTTAATTCCGAGGGAATTAACCAGGATTCTATCTAACCCCGAGGGCAATGTTGGCGGTAACACGTTACAAATAACGGCGTTACCGGTAACGCGTTACTTTTTCGATAACGCAACAACTGTACGATTGGACACGAGCCCGATATGCCGAGCGTCCTTCGATGCGCTGATTGGACGCGAGGCCCAGCCGAGAACCAACGCGGCACTCGTATCCAATCCGCGTCTTCGCTCGATCTCACTGCGATGACGTCGAAATTTGAGTGCACACAGGCTTTGATTATTCTAGGTTTGTTTGGCTTAAAATTCGCAACTCCAACGCCCTATAGGTGGCGGGGCGGTAGTTCCAAGATGGCGGAAGAGACGGGCCCGGGATAGATTCTCCAGGATTCCCCGTGCGCATGCTCGCTGATGCGGGTCAGTGCGCTAAAAATGAATTATTTGTCTACAATTGCGAAGTGATTAGGGTAGGATCATATTACAGGTGACGGAGATGTTGATTTGCGGTAGGAAAACGAGCATGCAGATATTTAAAAGTTGCAGCAACCTCAACTCGCGAAGCTTTGTGGAGGGCGAGCCCGTTGTGGGCACCGGCCACGTCACTTTTTGTGGCAAAATATTTTTTAGGGTGATGAAGATATCGTGTCTGCGGCTTGCCTGGCCAATAGTCCTTTAAAAAGTGAGCCGCGTACGGTGACCGTCAAGCTCCGTTAGAGCAACGTTCACAGTACTGATGTATTCGTGTCACAGGCTCGCAACTCGGTTTTAGTGTGTTGCAACACGTGCTCAAACTGCTCTATGGCTATTGATAGGAAATTTGTTACCGCAGACTACCGTGCGGTGTAGCATTGCAACCGGAAGCTCGCGCTCCTCCTTTGAAGCAGAATTTTCAGCGCGAGCCAGGAGCGTTGCCGTGCTCACGGTAGCCAACAGTAGCATGCGGTAACGCTATGCTAAAACAGCCTATGAACATAATCGACGTGTTTATGGGTTTTATTTATTACTCTATCAAAAATAAATATTTTAATATACCCTACATTTTTTGTACCGTGTTACTTACAACGTTGCAGCCCCTCTCGCCAAAACTCCCCGTTCTAAGCTCTCGTCAAAAACGACCGGCTAACACAGACGCACTAAAAATGCTTCAAGTATTTATTTACTAAGCAAGTATAAGAAAGTACCGTATTTTCCACACACTAGTCCGCACCCGGTGTATACTAGTAAGCAAGGGCGACTTTGAGGTCAAAAAGGAAAGGTTTTGCTTAGATAGTCCGCACCTGGGGTGTCGCGAACCGGCCGATGTTCGAATTCGACCAGGTTCGACTTTTTCGACCTTTTAGTGGAAATTTCGACGAACCGTGTATTGAGGTTCGACTCGTGTGCGCATGCGCGACAGGCTGTCCAGTTGGCTTCGGATTAGATGGTGATGGCTAAGGCATGAATTAAGGGCACCGCTGATTGGCTATTTCAGTTATTACGGTACACAAAAAATTAAGTTATTAACTTCTGCAGTGATTAGAATTGGTTTCCTTTAATTGCATATGTTCATAAAATAATATAACCCTTTGCATAAAAATAAATTCTCCAAACCTAGACATGCTTGTATCAAGGTCTGGCCAACTGTCCACAAAGTCGAACTGGTCGAATCAGGTGAAAAGTTTCGAAGGTTCGTCGAACCGGTTCGACCCAGTCGAGCCCCGAAAGGTCGACCTAAAAATCCGGTTCGAGAAAAGTTCGCGACACCCCTAGTCCGCACCCCGTGCATAATCCGACTGCGGCACATAGTCCGCACTTAATGCCTAATCCGAACGTAAAAATTATCATACAGAGCACACTTTGACAAGTGCCTGCTGCATTAGCTCACAAAAAAGCTTGTATCATACATATATCACTAATAATATACTATGTTACTCATAAAATCTGTCGCGTCTTGTCACACCGAATGATCTAGAAAAATACAAAAGCTTGTATTTTTCTAGATCTATAGATTGTCCGCACCGGGTAAAATTTCGACTTTTAAACATCTATAGTCCACAGACTATAGTCTGGAAAATACGGTACTTGTATTCTGCCTTGTGAAATTGCTTGGAATAAAAATTCACGTTTCTTGTAAGGGCCTTAAAACGCGAACCCATTCCCGATCTGTATTGCGCGACCAGATCACTCCTACTTAGGGCAAAGAATAGACTTTCCGCATGCGCTAGAGCCAGGCACGTAGCCAGGGGGGAGGCCCTTGGGGCCCGGGTCCCCCTTGAAATCTTCCATTTTGCAGGGATCTCCTCTCCCCCCTCCCCCTCATACAGCATTTTGGCATGGGCAACCCCCCCCCCTCCCCCCCGCCCCCCCCCCCCCCCCCCCCCCCCCCCCGCCCCGAAACAAAATCCCGGCTACGTGCCTGGCTAGAGCTCTACACTACTAGCGGGAGCGTTTGCCATTACTTTGAACACAGGTTGAGCTCCTCGCGGCCACGCACAAGACCAGAAATCCGCAGCGTATGCGATATACGAAAAGCCCCTAATAAAATTAAACATCCCGACCGCTTCGTGCAGCCCTGTTGCAAGGCGGAACATAAGAATTCCTATTTTAACGCGCTCACTTTTCTCGTTAAAACGGCTTTACGCATTGAGGCCAACAGTCCCTGCCACCGTTTCCGCGCCGCCGCCGCCGATGTCGTCCCCGCTCCTTTGGTTCTCCGTCCGTCCGCGGGAGGGCGAGCGGCCGGCTGGAGTTGCGAATAGTTGACGTGGTCCGTGACGCGCAGGAGGTTGGCTCTCGGCCGGAAGATGAACGAGACGTCCAGGGGAGTGCCGTGGCGTCCTTTCCCTTCGGACTGGATCCCGACCGCCTCCCTCTGGGTCGCACGCTCTGCCCGCTGCTACTCGGAGCAGACGCTGATGAGGCCACCCGAGAGGACCGGCGAGCGTCTCTGGCAGCTCCTGTACTTCGCTCCCTTCATGGGACGGCAGGTGAGGTCGCGGAAACGGTCTTCTTTCTATGGCCATCGGAGATTCTGGAAAGGCCGGTAGCCAAGTAACGGCGTAATGTAAAACGAAGGTAAAGGGACGCTTACAGGGTATTTATGCTCGGCAAGGTTCTTATTTCTACATGGCATACGAGAGCCCAACGACCCAGAACACAATCTACGGCTCGAAATTCCTTTTCTTTTCGCCCAAAAACCGCCGATCGAGAACTGGCCGTTTTGAGTCTCGCTCACCCTCTTTTCCGTGGTCACCAGCCTTTTACACACAACCACCATAGATAATTAGAGTCGTGGGTCATCCCAGGCACACACTTAATACTAAAGATAGACTGAAAATAAGACACCCATTTTTGTGACTTCTAAAACGTTGCAAACACGTATATTAAAAAAAAAAAAAGTTGCACGGCCACATGATCTTTAGCAACGCCCTCCTCTTCTATAGTTCTTCTTCCTCCTCAGTTCAGTTCCGGTTTTGAGGAGTCGCGTTTTTTTACTTTATTAAATATATACGTGACGATCTAGCAAAATATTGATTGAGTAGTCTTCTGACACCATAATGAGTCGCCTGGCAAAACAAAACAAAAAAAAAACATTTTTTTTTTTTTTTTTTGGGGGGGGGGAGGGGGTGTCAGTGTCTCTTTAAGGCGCTCGTTTGGTCTACCTACCAGACGTCACGTATGCGGGCAAATCTGGGCATCGTGGCAGCGCAAGGTCACCCTTGCAACAACTAGATCTAATAACGTTAAATGTCAAGCCGCGGCACAATTTCACGCAATTACATCACTTTACCCGACGCCACGCAGGGCGACGTCATGTCGCCATGTTGTCACGAAACTTGGCGTGGCCTGACGCACGTCACGTGGTCACGTGACTCGTAGGGGCACGACCACGCGACCTACGGATATCTTAAAATAGAATGTTTCAGAACAGCATTGCTCTAATATCGTAGCGTTTCACCAGAACCAGACCGGGAACATATGCCGCGTAGAAGACGTTTTAGCCACCGTATAACTCTAGTTTCTCTACTACGCTAACGCTCTGATAAAACCTAATAGGGAGTTTTCGTAGATCATTTCCGCTGTTCCGCAACGTTCTCCGCAACCCGCTACAAGATCCGGGACTTTTCAGGCAAGGCTAGCGCCACCCTCGCGCAGCAGTAGTGGCGTTTTCGTTGCGGAGAACGTAGCGGAGGTGGGAAAACGGTCTACGCATACTCTCCCTAATAATAGACCTATTGCTAAATTACCCAAGCATCAAGGAGAATGCAGGGAATGCTATTCCACGCGCCACACGCGGACGCCTTCCCCGTATAAAAGATTCCAAGTAAATAACCAAAATCATCGTTGGCGAACGCGCATGCAAGGTGTCATTTGTTTTAGGCGTTTTCTTTAGAAAAGTTTACTACTGCTGATGCCAGCACGTGCGGCGCGCTCAACCAATACCACCTAGAACACAAGGCCTGCGCGTTTCATCTAAACGCCATCACTAGCAGACCCCCTCAGCGCCTCCAATAGGTAGCCCGGATGAGCTCCATCGTCTGCTACATCGTCTGCGACATCGCCAGCTACGTCGCCTGCTTCGGTGGTTTGTGCAGCAGAAAATGAAACAGATGCTCACGCCGAGTGTCTGTGAAGCTAGACGTTCACGTGGAGCGTGAAATGCATGAGTGAAAGTGCCATACCGCTGTGCGAAGGGCTGCAAAGCCCTTCGCTGTGCGCTGGACTCTGGCACTGGACACCATTTTTCAGGACGCTGTTTATACTCAACGTCACAAGCACGAGAGCTTGAGGTGGCTGCTTTGAAGCGTTCTTCCGCAGAGCGAGCGCGAGCGCTAGAAATGCGCGTCTCAAAGCCAGGAGCGCGTGCTAGCTCGCGCTCCTGGCCGAGGGAGTATTTGCAAGCACGTTGCAAATGAACTGGAAGCTCGCTCTCAGCAGTCGCGCACACAGCTGTGGCCGCCAGTAAATGCGACGCGACCTCTTGTCAAGCTTCGGGGTGTTTGCCGCTTGAGGCGGGTCGGGGATCTACTAACGAAACGTCATGCGCAGGCCTTGTCTTCAAGGTGGTATTGGTTCAACACCATTCCATGCATTCTCCTTGATGCTTGGGTAATTTAGCAATAGGTCTATTGCAACGTTACTAGATTACCTCAGTTGGGGAACTCCCGCGGAAGGAAGCACCTCTCACTCACTTCAGTCCGCCTCCTGTCGTTTAAAGCGCCATCTAGATTTTTGTTTCAAAACTGTGCGTTCCATAGACGCCGTGTTCCAAAACGTATGCATTCAATAAAATGCACTGCAGTTACCATAGCAGCCGTCCGGCTCGTCGAACGACGGGAAGAGAGTCGTGGTGAGTGAGGGGGGTACTGCTCGTGCTTGCAGCGTCTATGACGCCGTGGTCTATGAGCAGTTCCGTAACTGAGCTAATCTAATCACGTTGGTCTATTGGGCCATACGGTGGTGCAGGGTGACCCGCTCGTGACCCTGGCGTACACCGGTTCCCCGGAGCCTCGTCTGCGCGCCTGTCTCCAACTTCTGGAGGACGTGTTCCTGGCCGAGACTGTCGCAGAAGCCACACGAACCCTGGGCAGCGCCGTGGGCGACGCCGTGGCTCTACTAGGCCACCAGGCGCTGCAGGTGATTGGTGTGCCGATTCCAGAGTCTAAGTTTTCAACGGCTCGATCGGTGTAACGTGGTTTGTAGACCGCATTCGCAATACAAGGTGTGAGCAGTGGCGGCAGAAGCATATCGTTCGGTCTGCAAGCGACTCTAAGCTTCGCTCAACCTCTTCACCTGCTATTCTTCACGCTACGCCGCGACGTGCGCGGGTTCATGAGCAAGCACTCTGTGTGGGAATCTCCGCGATTAAATTGCAAACGCTCCATGATTTTAGTGGCTCCTTCTTTAATATGTGCGCCCTCTGCAGGTGCTGCACTGGTGGATCGCTGCCCTGGTGGACAAGAAGGGCGGCGACACGGCGCCGCAGGGCACCTCCCTCGAGCATAGCGTCAAGAGGATGACGGGCGTGCGGGTGACCATAGTGAACGGGTCCCGGGAGGACCCCGTGGACATGTCTATCTTCTCGTGGCAGGTGGGCACCCGCGGCAGCCTCTCGACGATGCTCTTGCGTGGCCTTATGGAGAGCATCCCGTAACTAAGGCCGTATATAGCAGCATTATACCCAGGATGTTAAATATTCATCACATAAATTTATTACAAAAAATAAATACAGTGAAGGGTATACTAATGCAGGTGGTTTAGGCGAGCTTTACCGCCAGGGGGACATAATGTAGGGAGTTAATGCACGAGTGGTTAGTAAAGTAACCACTCATACGCCTGTTGCACGAGTGGTTACTTTATGTGCGGAATACACATAAAGCGCTCCTTACATTCTTCAAGTCGTTCTGAAATTACTCCAAACTTAAAAACAGTAAGAAAAAAAAAGGGGGACAAGAACGAGAAGTGAACGAGCTATCGTTACCCAAAATGATTCGTGGCAGCTTCCTGTGTTATCTTTCCTCCAGCGCCACCTGCACCTGTCGTCTCTTAGATTAGAGTATCCTTTTATGATCCGTAACTCTGAGGCTCTGGTTGAGTTTCTGCAAAAAGAGAACCCGGGATCCTGTGACCTTATGTCCTTGGATGTAGAATACATGTTTTATTCGATACCTCATAGTGAACTCATGAAGGCTGTTGAGGAATGTATTGACATGAGCGGTCTGTCGCCTACACAAGTTCAGCGGGGTTGCGATTGACCCCTTTTGAGAGTTGTTGCGTTTTCACCTTGCTTCAACATATGTCACGTTTGAGGACACTGTTTTCTTGCAAAAGAGCGGAATTGGCATCGGATTCAGTGTTGCCCCGGTTCTTAACGACATTTTTTTTTTTTTTTTTTGGCCAAGTGTGATCGAGCTATTGCTGAGAAGAAAGACGAGCGCATTTGAAAGACTTTTAGGCGGATAATTATCCTATTGTTTTAATTTCTAGTCAAGGTTTCGGTGATAATGGGGAGGTGGTCACGGATATGGTTGACCTGTTTTTTAGATGTTCCCTGCGCCTGAGGTTCAAGCCACTTACCCCTTTTGAGGCTGCCATTCAATTTTTGGACCTGTCTCTTAAGATTCAGGCCTCACATATTTGCTTGTCGTATGAACCCCGGTCAAAGAAGGGGCTATTGAGGTACGGTTCTGCCCATTCAAAACTTGTCAAAAGGGCTATTGCTGTGTCATGTCTACGCTCCTCTTTGGTAAAATCTTGTCATCATAGCTGCGAGAAACGTTTTTTTGTCTCAGGCCAGCTGGTTGCATTCAGCTGGCTTCCCGTTGGCTGTGGTTGTGGGTGTTGCAGAATCGCTTCTCAATGTGTTTAGAGGTCTTTTGAGTTTTAGGGAAAGGAGGAAGATGTCCTCCCAGGCCGGTTGTTCTGCCGTATGTACAAACATTTTCACATAGGATCAAGCAGGTGGCTCAGAAGTTTGACGTGCCTGTTGTGTTCTCAGCTCCTTCAAAGTTGTCCCGTCTTTGCGCCGCGGTTAATTCCTGTTGAGTTATCTGGGCCTCGGTGTGTGGTTAGCCACCGAACCCGGTATGTTCGTGCGCGACGGGTGTCGTGTATCTGATACCTTTGTCGTGCGGCAGGCTGTACACAGGTCAGACGGGGAGGTGTGTCAATGTTAGGACCAGGGAGCATTCCCTTTCCCTTCGGTCTTCATCGTCGGGACACCTTGCAGTTCACTGTGATAGGTGTTCCTGTTCTCCGGTTTTCACGGAGATTAAGATTCTGGCTCGTCACCGCAACCCCCGCCTCCAAACACCTGTGAAAGCAGGTGTTTGGAGAGTGGCGTCTCCACGGACGCCAAGCCCCGCAGGGGGCGCCTGCACCTTAGGTGCTAGGCGCTTGGTGAGTAGTGTCACCACAGACCCCAGCCACGTGGGCCACCATACCCGCACGCAGGGGGCACCTACTTTAGTAGGTGCTTGGTGAGTGGCGTCACTACGAACCCCGAGCCACGTGGGTTCGCCCACCCACGTCAGGCTGTGCGTGGCGTACCCGTGTCCGGGGAAAAGGGGACCCTGGTGGTTGAGCTGAGCCCGGGGAATGTTTGGACCCTTCGGGGCCCCCCGGGCGAGGCAATACACCGCTTCGGCCCCTGCTTCTCGTAGACGGGTGTCCTGGCTTGGCCCGACAAGGATGATTCAGTCAGTCGCCTCTTCTAACCTCTTCTTCCTTCTTTTACTTTTCCTCCCACCCCTTTCTCTTTTCTTGTACACTCTCATCCTTCCTTTTTCACCTCCTTAGGCGGCAAGGGCCAACCTTGAGTGGAAACAGGTCCTGTCCCTGCAACCACACTAGGGTATAGTGCCCGGGCAGCACTGGTAGTGTAATTGTGTCAGCCAAGCCTTCCTTGCTATGGCACATTACCTACCCCCTTGTTGGGCTCCGTGGTGTGCGGTACACCCGGGCACTGAACTTCCTTCTCATCTGTATGGGTTCTAAGCTAAAACAAACTGATCGGCCACCTAAAAGAGTCCAGACCGAAGCCCTTTCAACGTTTCTAAACAAAGACGACTCCAACTCGACTACTTCACCAGGTTTTTTGTACTGCATTCTGAGGACACTGCTGAACCACTGTCCAAGGTATCTCCTTTCATTGTTGCTAAGGTTCTCCAAAGCACACTAGGATCGAAATATGAAGCCAAGAAGCTCTTTTCAGGTGACCTCCTTGTGGAGGTATTCCAAACATTCCAGGCTACAGCTCTCCTGAACATACAAACTATCCATGACATCAAGGTGACTGTTTCTCCTCACCACACACTCAACACCATCCGGGGTGTAATATCGGAGGGTGATCTGGCTGACAGCTCCGAAGAAGAAATTGTGGAGGGCCTGCAGGGCTCAAGGTGTTGTTGCCGCCAAACGAATAAAAATCCGACGGGATGGCGAGGAACGACCCACTAGGCACATAATTTTAACCTTCAAGAGAAGTACGCTGCCACCTTCAGTGAAAGCAGGCTACATCAATTGCAAAGTGCGGCCGTACATTCCAAATCCTCTCCGCTGCTTCCGTTGCCAGCGCTACGGCCATGGCTCGCGCTCTTGCCGTGGTCGTGAAACCTGTGCCCGATGCAGTGGCAAAGACCCCCCTGCTGATGCTTGCAGAGCAGACTACAAGTGTGCCAACTGTGACGGTGACCACCCTGCATACTCAAGGGCTTGTGCCCAATTCAAGAAAGAGAAGGAAATTCTTGCACTCAAAGTGAAGGAGAGTATTAGTTACCAGGATGCGAAGCGTCGTCTCTTTGCTTTTCAGAGAGGCTCTTTTGCCGAGGCGGTGTCCAGCAGGGGACCTGCACCGTCCAAGGCGTCAGTGGCGACCCAGGTGTCTTTTCCAGACCATGGGAAACCGCTGCAGTCCCCTTCGCCCAGGTTGAAGATTTCTCTGCCTGGGCATTCACTTTCAGCTGCAAAAGCAGCGGACACACCCCGTGGTACAAAAGACCGAGGTGCCACTGAGGCGATGGAGGTGACTCCATCGCCCCTCCCTCCTGCGCCGTCCCCTCATGCAGGAGAGCGAGCCCCTCGCTCTGCATCTCAGGGGAGGACTTCGCCGAGGAAGCAGCACGTTTCACGCGCAGTGGACGACTCAAACGGGGCAGTGGGACGGCCTGGTACGTGAGGAGGGCAAGGCAGAGGCCGGGGGTTTCCCCCACGGTCGTCTGATTGCTCTCAGACTCCTGGCAAGTTTGCCAAGAATGCTCTGGATGCAAAGATGACAGCTGATGCTGGCACCTCTTCTGCTCGAGAAACGGACCTAGATGAGATGGATTAGCAGACAGTAAATCGAAATCAGAAGGGGAAAAAACCAATAGTTCCTCCAAAATGATTTTTTTTCTTTAGCCCTTTTTTGAATAGGGGTACTTCCATATAGAATGACTGCAGTCATTCAGTGGAACTGTCGTGGCCTTTTGAGGAACTTTGACGATGTGGAGTTCCTCTTGGAGGAACATCGGCCACAAGCTCTGTGTGCAGGAAACTCATTTCAATGCAAGTCATACAAATTTTCTTAGGCGGTATTCCATTTTTAGAAAAGATGGAGACGATGCATCTATTTCAGCAGGAGGGGTTGCAATTATTGTTCCCAAGCACATCCCCTGCTGTGCGATCGACTTAGACACTGAACTGGAGGCAATGGCGGTGCGACTCCTCCTTCACAATGTGGTCACTGTGTGTTCCTTGTACTTACCTCCTTCTTTTGCTCTTACCTTAAGTGATTTTGATGATCTTTTACTCCAACTCCCGGAGCCCTTTCTTTTACTTGGAGACTTTAATGCCCACAACTCTCTATGGGGCAGTGACCACGTTGACGTCCGTGGTCGAATGATAGAATCAATTTTAACGTCTCATTCACTCTGCCTTTTTAACACGGGAGAACCAACCTATTTTAGCCCATCCTCATTATCATTCTCGTGTATTGATCTTTCCATTGGTAGCGCTTCCATTTTTACTTCCTTTACATGGGTCGCTGATACTAATTAACCCACATGGAAGCGATCACTTTCCGATTTTCTTGAAAAACAACCTTCCCCCAAAGAGCGTGCCGATGCGGACTGCCCGTTGGAAGTTTGAGAAAGCAGATTGGTGTGTTTTTACCGAGGCGACTCAGCTTGCATGTACATCATTTGATAAAATATCGGTGGACCAAGTTACAGAACTTTTAAGTGAGTCTATTCTTCATGCAGCATCTCTTGCTATTCCTGTGACTTCCACGTATCTGCCTCGGAGACCCAAGCCGTGGTGGAATGAAGAGTGTTCTGAATCGAGGAAAAAACAAAACAGAGCGTGGGGTATTTTTCGACGTTACCCCACGGAGAGTAATCTCCTCACGTTTAAACATATGAAAGCTCGGGCAAGATGCATTCGCCGCCAATCTAAGCGAAAGAATTTCCAGGGGTACGCCTCTTCAATTAATAGTACTGCAACTCTGAAAGAAGTCTGGGATAAAGTTCATCGGATCGAAAGGCGATACCCTGCTTTCACAGTCCCGCTTCTCTCCCACAATGGGGTCTGTCCAGAGAGCCTAGAGGGTCAGGC